TTATATCTGATTGTAGAGGATAGTTTATCTCCGAATTTTAGACTAAATTCTATAGGATCCTTAGGATTAAGAGAAAGCTATTAACTATATACCACCCCTAAATAGATAGGTAGAGTAAGATCGTAAATCAGTATATAGTATAGAGGTTACGACTATATATCGAATAAAACTAGGATAACTAGTTAGAGATCTTACTAATAGTCGATTTTGTAGCCTCGATTCTCCCCTAGGATATAATAAAGAAATCACCTTTCTTTATAGAGAGAGGATATAAGCCTTTAATAATATTCGACTAGAAAGACTAAGGGATAGTAACACCAAACGAGTAAGATATAGTGTAAATACTCTCTAAGTTATAGGATATCTAGACTTAGACTAAGGAATAAGTTATAAAATCACAATAGCTATAAATTCGCTAAGTAAATAAGTACCGCCGAGAAGAGGATTTCGGAGTCGGCGACTTAGTGTTTATCACAACGAAGGACTAGCTCTAGGACCGACTAAGTAGAAAGCTCTTGTACCTAGCCAGCGGACTATATAGGATCACTAAGAAAGTAGGTAACTCCTATAAGGTAGACCTACTAGAGGCGATCTAAGTATACCCTATCTTTTACCTAAGTAAGCTACGGAAGGTAGCTACAATAGAGCCCTTAGAAGGACAATATATAGACCTACCTCCACCAATATAGGTTAGAGAGATAGATAAATAGGAAGTTAAGAAGGTCCTAGACGCTAGGACGTATTATCGGAAGCTATAGTACAGAGTGTAATAGGTAGGATATAACCTCGATCTATAGTGGTATCCTACCAGTGATATAAAGTATACACCGAGGAAAGTATAGGAATTCTATATATAGTACCCTTCGAAACCCGGTCCTCCTATACGTCTATAGGAATGGCTTGATACTAATAACGAAGGTTAAGTCCTCGAGGACTATAGGGATAACGACAAGCCAACATTTAGGGACTGAATACATTCTTAGTCGGGGGTTATGTGACGATCTGGAAGGTGGATCTTTTCTGCCGAAAAGATTTCCGCTGAAAGGATTCTACCGAATCTTTCCGCCTTGACAGAGTTTGCATTGTTTATATGCTTGGTGGTGACAGGGCCATACAAAGGATCCGGTCCTGAAGTTTTCTTTCTTCCTTTTCCTTCTCTCTCTGTACTTAGTATTCTCGTTGAAATGCACTCTTTTGTTTAAAGAACTGGCTGGTAACAAAAAGCATACATTTTAATAAGAAAAAATCGTATATTTCATAGATTTCTGTATTGATCTACTCTACAAATTGTGTATACTTCTTTTTATATACCTCCCCGCACCCGTTTTCCTCCACGTCTACGCCCTCGACCACACCCTACTTTAGCACTACTAGTTTTAGCACTGCTAGTTTTACCACTACCAGTTTCACCACTACCAGTTTCACCACTACCAGCTTCACCACTACCAGTTTCACCACTACCAGTTTTACCACTACTAGTTCTGTGTCTACGTCCACGTCTATATCTACGTCCCTATCTATATCCCTATCTATATCCCTATCCACCTTCCTATAAAAGTATATATTCGAATACTAATAGTTCTCGCTAGGTAGATCGATCCTAGGTAAGGGGATCTAGTGAGGAGAGGATATCCTAGGTACTTTACTAGGTAGCGCTTTACTAGGTACTACTTTACTAGGTAATAAAGTTTCTCGCTCCTTACGGACGTCCTCGCTATCGAACCTAGAGAGGGTCCTATAGTAGAAGTAAGGGATTAATTAGTGGAGTAGCTACTCTATATAAATACTAATATTAATAGAATAGCTTAGGTTTAAGGCTCTTATTTTTATTCTTATACTACTAAATAAGGTAGATATAAGGGAACCTAGCTATATTCTTCGAATTATAAGTGTATAATAGGGGAATAGGCGGTTTATTGTCTCCTTCTAGAAGGTATCTTACGCGTAGATCCTTTATATACTAAATTACCTTTACTAAGATTTATCTAATAAGTAATCTATAACTAGGTAGAATAGTAGTTAGCCTTCTAATCTTATCTTTCTTAATCTTATTTTAGATCTTTATAAACTAAAGGTTTACCACACACTTAAATATAAGAAGGATATCTAGTAAATTACTTATTAATACTTAGAGTTCCTACTTTAGAAGCTAATAGCCTCCTTTAGTGCGTAAAGTAGCTATCTCGCTAAGATAGAGGTTCTAAGAGATATAATAATAAAGGAAGCGCTTAGGGTAGTTATTAAGCTATTTATCTTAAATATACTTAAGAAGAGGTTAGAAGATTAGATTGTTATACTTCTCTTTAAAGTTTTCCTACTACTAGTTTATAACCTTAGGGGAAGTGGTGTATATAATCTAGTTCTAGTACTTAAGTATTTTCTTCTAGCCTTCGTTAACCTTCTAGGTAAGCTCCCTCTCTCGCTAGGCCTTTATTTAACGCTAGGTATTCGACTAGGTAGTATTTAACTAGGTGGTATTTAACTAGGTGGTATATAGCTTACTCTAGGCCTTTATAATCTAATCTTAAAGGATTAGTTAAGCCTTTTTTAAGATATATATATTAATATACTAGATATAGATTATATTCTTTATACTAGGAAAGATACCTTTAATAGTAGCTATAAGTACTTTTTCTTTATTAGTTAGAATTATATATAGGGGTTTAAGATCTAGGGATTTATAGGCTTTAGTAAGATAGTTTAAAATCACTTTATATATTTCCTCCTTCTTATCCCTAATAAATATAAAGCTAAGGTAAAATATAGATCCTATTATAGAAAAGCTAATAATATTAAGTAAGGGTAACCTATATTAATTTATCTTATATATATAGTCTATCGAAATAACCTAGGGATTTAGCTTTAGTATCGCGATACTAGTTTTATATATATAAAATAAAGCGGTAATATAGTTTTCTTTATCTACTTTATATTTAAAAATCTAGTCCCTATTTTTAGGGAGCTCTATTAGTAGAGCCTAGATAGGTATATAACTAGAAAGGAATTAAGTATTAAGCTTCCTTCGAAAGTTATAGATATTATAGGGTAAAAGATAGGAATTAGGATTGTCCTTATATAGCTAAGTAGTGATTTAATAGGTAGGGAGCCCTTATTTAACTTACTTTTAGATCTTATCTACTTTAGTCGTAAGTTCCTCGCTTCGATATACTAAATAGGTAGATAGTAGGGAAGGGCTATAGTTATAATCTAGGTTATTAACTATAATAAGCCACTAATTTATATTATATTAGAGGCGTAGCGAGATTATAAATAGGTACTCGATAGTAAGCGTTATTATCTCCTATATACGAGTATAATCGAGTCATTCTCGGTACTTACGACCACGATTATAGTATAGTTAGATAGTTTTCTTTACCCCCTTCTTTATACGCTTTAAATATAAGGTTAATAACGTAAAGCTATTATATTTAGTAAAGTCCTTTATTAACGTAACTATACCCTTAGGGTTATTATACCACTAACTAAGGATAGAAGGGCCTAGTAAAGGTATAGGTAGGTATTAGGATTTAGTATTTAGCGGTTTAGTGCTTAGCTTAGTACTTAGTATAGCGGGTAGGGACTTAGGGACGATCTCTAGATCGGAATCTAGATCCGAATCTAGATAACTAAGGCCTAGGGAGGCTATATTAATAGTGTAAATAATGAATTTAGTGAAGAGATTGATAGAATTGACGAAGAAAGTAATAAAAAAATAGGTAAGAAGAAGGTAGGTTAATATATATAAACTAGAATTAGAATATTAATTTGTTTGATCCTATCTATATATATATATATAGAGTATTATATGATAAAAGTGACTTAATTTTGTATAGGGTTTATATATAAATTGTAGGTATCTACTGTCTTACTAGTATTATATAGGTGTTTAACACAAAGGCGGTGTGGAGAGCGGTAGGCAGAAGTAGGCTTCAATTTAGTGTCGCACCCAATCGGGAAGGCGGTGACTGAATTTTCAGGTAGGGGGGTGGTGTGATCCAGAGGAGGGGTGGGTGTAACAACACCCTAAAAATATATATTTGTGGTAGAGGGGAGTATATATATATTATAGGATAACTATAGATATAAGTAGAAATATCTTATTCTTATTTGATTTTATATATAATTAATATTATATTAAAGCTATATTTCTCTTCTCCTATATTTAACTTATTATATATACTCCGAATTGTATTTTCTAACCACGGTTAGAAAATCACTTCTAGGAGGTAGGTGTATATACTATTATTTCTAACCGCGGTTAGAAAAGCCCTTCTAGGGGGTTAGGTAGGTATATATATTATTATCTCTGACCGCGGTCAGAAAAGCTCTTCTAGGAGGGTAAATAAAATATTTTTAAGGGATCTTCTAGGGGACTAGGTTATGAATAGGTCCTCTTAGGTTTCAATAGGTTATGAATAGGTTCTCTTAGGTTTCGATGGGTCCTATTGGGTCCTATTAGGTTCTCCTAGGTTAGACCTATTTAAATAGAGCTTATATAGCCAATTATATAATATTATAGCTTATAGCTTTTAATCTATCTACTTTACTATAGGACCAAGGTATTTACTATTTATATACTCTTCTCTTATAAGTATATACTCTCTCTATCTCTCCCCCTTACCTCTATAGTATTCCCCTGGTTAGTTATAATATCCTAAAGCTAGTATTCTAACTTTTTATATACTCTTTACGATATAGATATAGATAACCTTAGCTATCTTATACCCTCTTTATAAGTTCTAACCCTATCTAGTAGCTAGCTTATAATTAAGCTATTTAATACTATTAATACTAACTTCCTTTAGCCCCCTAACCTTCTACTAATTCTACACTCTCTTACTTATATTAGCCCCGATTAGAGAAAGGTATATATACTTTATAATAATATAGTATATAAAGAATAGGTTAAGTAGTGGCTATAAACTAACTATAGGTAGAAAAGTAAGATTTCCTAGGATTTAAATCGTAATTTAAATATATAAAGTAACTTTAACTAAGTTACCTATACTAAAGATAGTGCGCTAAAGGTAATAATATATAAGCGCTACTTAAAGATCCTAGAGTATCCCTATTCTCTATTACCTAGTAGAAAGGGCTATTATAGTATATTAATAATATTAAAGTATTTAAAGATAGTAGGCTATCGTAAAGCTTAATAGGGAGGGAAAGGAGAAATTACCTAGTTCCTTTAAAAAGTAGTATCTCCTTACCTCTTTATTTAGTTATCTAATTTCCCTAACACTCCTAGATATATAGGATTATAGCTTACTAGAGGCTCCTTTTTTATAATTAGTATAGGAAGAGTATCTTCTCTAATTTCTTACCCTTAATCGACTTCTATTCTACCTTATCGAATATCTAATATTTTATAAGCTATTCTAATTAGCCCACTCTACACTATCTCTCCCTCTAATACCCTCTACTACTATAATATATCACTATTTATATAATATTATTATAGAATAATAGAAATCTATCCTCTAAACACTACCTAATAATATAAAAATCTTAATTATATTAGATTACTAGACTTCTCTATATAACTAGGTATTTATAGCTATTACTAGCTATTTTATTAATAGTAACTAGGTATATTAAGAGGTTCTACTTAGATTTAAACTACTTTATAGTTCCTATACTAGTTTAAATCTAAGTAGTATACTCCTTAAAACTCTAGTTAAGTATAAGATCTAGGATTAGGTATTTAGAGTTACAAGGGATCTTGGTGGCCTTCGGCCACCAGATAGTCCTTGTGGAGCGAAGTGACAAGGTTTTTACCTAGTTAGGTACTGGGTTTTAATTATATAATCACTATCGTATTTAAATAGTTAACTAGATTCAGACAGTTTATATCATGTGATAAATAATTTTAATTGCTGGGCATGGTGTATATCTACTGCCGGCAGAATTATTCTGCCATTTCTCAGCGATGACATTTTCGCCGCATTAGAACTCTATGGATTTGGACCTCATATAGGAGCAAGGTCACGTGACGTACACCCGAGCCCTTATGATATGGGTTGCTTCGCTTCGCTCCGCAATAACTAATAATATAACTAATAATAAGATAATAGTTAAGGCTATGTAGGCACTCTCTAGCGATATAATAGTAATCTAAATACCCTATCTTACCTATATTATCTAGCTTTATTTAAACTAGCTACTTAATCGTTTAAAGGCTATCCCTCTAAGTAAGAATATAGAAATAAAGTAGACTAACCAGAAGTTATCTATAGTAAAGGTAAATACTTAGTACTAGATATAAAGGATCTCCTATACCTTAAATAAGGTCCGTTATCTTACTATATATATCTATATAAGTCTATAATACTAGGCGGCCTTTCTCTGACTTTAAGAAAAGGGATCCTAGCTTATTCTAATCTAGGATATAAGGACTTAGTGGAATTCTACCTTCTTAATACTTTGTTATATAAAGAGACTATATAGTTTCTTCTAGCCCTTCTATAAAGAGTATAACTATAAGGAGATATTACTTAATAATTAAGAATAGTATTAAATTAACTATCTTCTATAAATCACTTAGCTATTCTTTAACTATATAATAGAGCTCTTAAAGATAAAGAAGGTTACTATATATCTTATGAAGATTTATAATACCCTCTTTAATCACTTTTTTGAAGTAGAGACACTACTTAAATATAAGCGTGTTCTATAGAAATTAGATATACTTAAAGTACTTATAGCTAGTCACTTAAAACTTAATAAGTACTACTCTTAAACTAATAATCTTAAAGGATATATCTATATAGTTAGGATAATACTAGTACCTAATAGTAGGTTTTAGTTCTTTTAATCTAATAATTAGGAGCCTTACTAGTATAATACCTACTAGAAATTATTCTAGGACTTATTAATTCTATATTAAGAGCGCCTTATAATAAATTAAGGATTAACTAATACTCTAATAATAGTATTATCTAGTTCTAGACTAAATAAGATACTAAAGAGTAATAAGATATCTATAAAGCTAGCTAGTGATAAAATAACTTAATATCTCGATAGTGGTATATTTATAATCTATTTCTTCCCTATATAGGATAATACTAATATATTTATACTACTAGATCTAATTAATATTAAACCTCTTTAATTCTAGTAGGAGAACTAATCTTATTTCCCTATAATTATATTACTTACTTATAATATTCTCTCTATCCTAGTAACTAGTGCTAGTGTTAAACGGCTCTTTAATACTACTTAGGATATTTATCACTACCGCTATAGTTATCTAAAGTCTAAAATAATTAAGGAGCTTATATTATTTCTATATATAATAAGATTTAATATTAAGGATTCTAAGGTAAAGTAGCTTAAGTAGTTCTTTACACTAGCTAAGATTAAGTTAGTGAAGGAGTAGAACAATAAATATATAGAGGATACTAAGCTTAACCTAATTAGTGATAATAAAGAGGAGGAAGGAGTAGTGTCAGAGATCACGTGACCTCTGGTTGCTCCCAGCATATCATAGTCTTCATGCGTAGATAGCTTTCTCCCTTCTCCACGCATCTCAATATAGTTTTCCAGAGCATATACTGCTTCTTGTAAAACCAGTATTCTCAGGTTATGAGCACCTTACTCACCGTGGAATCCTTGCAAATCAAGTATATTCCACGACCTCGAGTCCTCCACTAGGTGCTTACGTCGCACCCCTTGTTGATTTAGACGAATCAAGTCTTATCAACCCCTCGGGGACCCACAAAACCAAGTGGTAAAACCCCATTTTTCTTACTGTCACTAGCCAGTTAAAAAGCCGGATTTCAAAATCATTACACCCTATATTCGTCGAAACCCTATTCGTCGAACCCCCTATTCGTCGAACCTCCTATTCGTCGAACCTCCTATTCGTCGAACCTCCTATTCGCCGAAACCCTATTCGTCGCACCCCGCTAGTGCTCTACCCACAATAATATCTCGTCCCGGCCTAGAGAGGTATAAGGACCTCGATATACAATACTATAAATAAGGCATTGAGGATACCGACCTCGCTAGTAGCTATCTAAAGCTTAAAGGACTATCTAACTAGCGAGATTAGGAGTCTACTTTTATGACTACCATCGGTAGTAACAACTGATACTACGTCGGTATAGCTCTTTATATGGTTCCTTACCCTACACCTCTACTATACAAAGATACTAGAAATAATTATATTTATTAACTTCTTATCGAAGAAGGTGTTATAGATATTAACACTACTACGATCTATACTCATAGAAGGGAGGTCGTTGAAGATAATAAGCGTCTTATAGAGATCTATTAAGATAGTATCTCGAAGTGGGATCTATATAATAACAAAGTCCTAACTTAGCTTTATAAGACCCTTAACGTTAGGCCTACCTTATTAATTATTAATATCTTCGATACCTATACTACCTTATTTAAATTAAGAAATAACTACTATATAACTTATACTAAGAATATTATACTCGATATACTAAATTCTATGATTTACGATATAAAGGGGGTTCTACCTATAATTTTGTTTATCGATTCTAGGATATACTTTATGATTTTAACTAGATAGCTAGTTCTTCTTAGAAGATTCTAGCACTAATTAAACTTTATTAATTTAAATAAGCCTTTATAGAGAATCCACACTATACTTCTTTTATTTAGAACCTTATTATTAATAAGAAAGATAAGAACTTTATAGAATAGGTTTATATCTAATTCACTAAGTTAGAAACCACTAATAAATTAATCTCTAGCACTATAGCTTCGGTAAATATAACTATATTATATATACCTACCTTATCTTCGACTAATACTATAAAAAAGGATAGGAAAAAGGATAATAAGGAGGCCGAAAACTTAGCTAAAAATACTAAGGATAAGACCTTAAAAGGTAAATCTATAGCCTATATAGATATTTTTTATTATATTTATAGTATATAGGGTAATTATTATATAAATAAGTATCCCCTTAAAGCCACTATCTAAGTAAATACTACTAAGCTTTAGGTTTAACCTTAATAGTAGCCTTAGTAAGTCTCTATTCCTATACCTAGTTAAATTATAGGCTATATAGATACTACTAGTAATATTATTACTAATTAGTAGTAATAGCCTTAGGCTAATACTATCTATAATCCCTTCTCTAACCTAGTACCTTAATAAGGACTACCTACCAGAGATCTATTACTTAAGTATAATAGCCTCTTTATAAATACTTTATATTTAGATCATTATATTAAGAAAGATCAAAGTTTATTTAATAAGAGAAAAGACTACTATTATATTTTAAAAGAAGGATATCTTATAGATAATAGAAATAATACTTCACAATAGATAATCGATTTAGGAATAAGTATTTATATAACTCCCTATAGATCTATATTTATTAACTTTAGAGAATATATTCTACTAGTTTCTATAGCCACTAGAGATATCTTTTATATAGAAGGATATAGTAATATCGTTCTTTAATTATAGAATCATAACTATTCTAAATATCTTACTTTACTTACCTTATAAAAGGTATAGCTAGTACCTCGATTAAGATCTAGTCTTATCTCTATATTAGCTCTCGATAAAGCTAATATAGGTACCTAGGTAAAGAATAGGATAATAACTTTCCTTTATTAAAATAAATCCCTTAGTTTAGCAATAATAATAGTTAGTTATACTACCTATAAAGGTAAACACTACTAGCTAAATTATCTAGGAATTAATAAGCTTAATTATATAATCTTAGTTAACTTACTCTCTAGATCCTTAAATTTAGTGTTCGCCCTAGATAAAATAGCCCCTATTTCTATTAATCTAGTATATCGCTATACCTACTATACTAGTAAAGATTAAGTACGAAAGATAGAGATTTATACTAATAGTATTAAACTTAAGAAAGGTGCTAGTATTATATACCCTTACACTCCCTATATTAAAGGAAAAGGATATACCTTACCCTTTAGGAAGTAGAAATAGATTAGATCTAAACCTAGAGAGCTGATTTATCTTAACGTTTAGGGCCCTATCTTAATTACTTTATATAGTGGTAAACAATATTTTATTACCTTTATAGATAACGCTATATGGTTTATATAGGTATTTCTTCTTAAATTAAGAGTAGAAGTTATAGAGAGATTTATTTAGCTTTAAAGCCTATCTAAATATATAGTTTAGATATTTAGTGAAGTAAGTATATAGAGATAATACTATAGAGTATAAGGTACTAGTATCTTACCTTTCTATAAAGGGTATTATTTAGGATCCTATACCTCTATACACTAAGTAATTAAATAGGGTTACTAAGATCAAAAATCGACTTCTTATCGAACCCCTTATTACTATTATAACTAAGTATTAACTACCTAACGTATTTCACCCCATTGCTGGACACACCCCATAGCTGGACACCCAACCCAACCTATTAAATTTAAATGCATTTATCTCAACCATAACGCCATTAAATTAATTCAACTAACTAAGTGGTCTATCTAGACATGTTTCTCTTCTATGCCCTGGCAATCTGTATATTCCACACCCCCGGGGGGCCGCGTACGTGGCTGAATAGCCGATTCTCTAGGTATACTAGGGCCGGGGGTAGGTGCTTTAGTTGCTTCCTGTTGCTGTATAATTAATGTAGATACTTCTTAAACTAAGAGGCCTTCTTTAGTAGGTATCTGCCTTCGGGATCGAGTACGCTTTTGCTTCTACTTCTCGTTGGCGGCACGTAATTCCTTGTTTTCTTTAGCGAGTAAGATAGCACCTTATATTGTAAGACGGAAGCCTTTCACAAGCTGGTCTAATACACGATCTAACGGGCTAGGCGGGCTTCGAGACCTCGTACGAAGTAAAGCTTTAATTAATAAAGCCTGTCGACGTAGTTCTTTCTCTGTAGCCGGTGTTTTTGGTATAAAATTCCGGCTTGATTCACTCCCCGGCTCGGAGGGGGGTTAGGGTTCGAAGCCGGATATTAAGCTTTGAAATCACTCGGTCGGGTCTAAATAGTACTAAACCGGTAGCTAAGAAGCTATTCTTGATTATCTCCGATTTAAAGGCTTTAATTCGTACGAGAGGGTATACTTCGAGGAAGTCAAGTTTATTAATATAGTTGATCCCGTTCTGTATCTTAGTTTTAACCATCCGACTGTACGATCGTTTTAATACCGCAAAACAACCTATATTAAGAGATTATAAAAGATAAGATAAATACGCTGGTATATAGATTAGTATTACCTTATTTTACTCGTAAATTTTGTCGAATTAAGGTGTTAAATGACTTCTGTGGCTATCGAGTATTAAAAGCCGATACCCCCCCTTCGTACGTAAAGAAGTACTAGGAATAAAGAGCTTCTTAAGCCAACAAAGCCTAATTTTATCGGAGGTCTAGCTATTAGGACTAACTTCGAAGCGCTAATCCTCTAGAAGGCCGTTAAACCATAATTTAATAAAGACTTTACCTTTAAAAATCATATACAGCGGAAGGGCCTAGCCAGAAGTATTCGTACACTTAATAATAGTCACCCACTCTCGATTTCCAGGTTGTAAAAGTGCTCGCCGACCGTAGTATTCACTCCTTGTTATAACCTTCGTAGTTACTATTAACCCTATCGCGAAACCGGTCTCGTCAAAGTTATAGATATCGTTAGGGTCGATTCTAAATTAAAGGATTGTCTTTTAGACTAGATTAAACCACTCCGTAATGATTTTAGGGTCTTTATATTTCGCACGCTCGTAGTTATACCGTTTCGAGAACTGGGAGGAGAGAAGCGGACGTCGTTTAACAAATTTTGTAACCTAATTTTAGCTGACCGAAAGAACCGGGGTAGTTCCACGCTTTTGAAGAAGAAGGTCTACTATTTCTCGTACCATAGAGGGCCGGGGGCTACTCCACGTAGATCCATAGAGAGAATCTATTTTTCAAGAGATTCCTCTTCAATCTAGGTCAATTTCTATAGACTAACGCGAGAAATCGTGTGGTTTTGTATACTATAGAGGCGTAAAGCGAGAGTTGAATTTGGTATATTGAATCGGCGGGCGGTTTCACGAATTGAAGAGATTTCTCGATTCTTAAAAGCCTGGATAGCTAGTAGGATCCTACCCTCTTGCTCTATTGAATTTTTAGAGCTCTGGGAGCGTATTGGTGGCATAGTGGGTGGTGGAAGAAGAAAGGGGTTAAATTAATTGACGCGTTTTGGGTGGGTGTCCAGCCATGGGGTGTGTCCAGCAATGGGGTGAAATATGTTAAATATCTTTAGGGATATCTTCTTAGAGGCGTTAATTACACAATAAATTATCTCTATTCCTTATAGATTAGAATATCTCTATATAAAGTACTCACTAGGAAGAAACCTAACCTTTTAAACCTCTATACCCTTAGCTACTAATACTAGTTCTTAATCCCTAAAGAAAAGTGGTCTATAAAGCTAGATTCTTATATAGAAGAAGCTAAATTAATCGCTTATAATAAGGGTAATAATTATATTCTCTATAATATATATATAAAGAAGATTAAGTGGTCTTATAATATAATTTTTAATAAGACTCCTACTAAGTAATTACCTAACCCTACCTATAATTTAAATATCGATAGTATAGATCCTAATTAAGAGCCTAAACCCCCTAACTATAAACAATATATTCTAGTTAATTTCTTAGATTAGAACACTTTTAGTGATTATTTTAGAACTAAATCGAATTATCTTTCCTTTCCTCCCTTATCTATAGTTAAAGATTTAGCTAATAAAGATAATACTCTATAAAATAATCTCCTACTAATAAACCCTATATTATTTAAGGATAATCCTAAATAGGATCGATACGAAGAAATAGAGGGTAGCTTTAGTAGGAATATAGAGGTATAATAGGAGGATAAAGGTATCCACTTTAATATAGGTAGATTAGGGGTTCTTATAGAACTATAGTCTCCTTCCTAGGGGACTATTAATATAGATTACCCTATAGATTCCTTACCTTAATTAAATTATTAAGATATAGATATAGTTCCTAATACCTATTAAGATAAGGACTTTATACCTACTTCTAAACTAGAAGCTCTATAAGCACTAAGGTATTTAACTTATATTCGAAAACCTAGTTAAGTATTCCTTAATATAGTGGCTTTAAAATTATTCTTTAATACTAACTTAATATAGCTACTTACTAATTATCCTAATATATTACTCACTCTCTTTATAGCTACTATATCTAAAGAATTATTTACTACTTTAAATCTTAAGCTAATAGACCCTAGTTTCGAACCTAATAGCTAGAAATAAGCTATATCCTACCTTAAAAAAGATAAATAGCTTCTTATAGTATATAAGGAATTAAATCGCTACCTAATAAATAGTACCTAGAGATAAATTCCTCACTTAAATAATAGGGGTAAAAGGGCCCCTCTTACCCTTCGCTAGGTATTTAAGATTAAGTATAATAGTACCTATAAAGCTTAGCTTATTACCTAAGGCTTTCGCTAAGTTAAAGACCTAGATTTTCACAAGGTATATACTATTATTACTAAGCCTATATCTTTTAAGATCTTTACCGCTATTATAGTGTCTAAAGGCTAGTACCTTTATTATATTAATATTATTACTACCTTTCTTTATATAGAACTAAAGGAACTAATTTATATTAAGCTTCCTAAGGTTTAATATAAGTAGTATCTAGACTATATAGGTCTCCTTAAGAAGACAATTTATAGTCTAAAGTAGAGTCCTAGGGAATAGTATAAACTTCTTTATAATATCCTCTTATTAATTAGATTCTTAAAGATATAGTTAGATCACTTAATCTTTAAGAAAAAGATTAATTAAATCCCTATCTATATATTGATCTATATCGACGATTTACTTCTATTATCTCCCTTAGAGATAGTAATTAGTTATTTTAAAACCACTATCTCTAAGTATTTCGATATTTTAGATAAGGGTCCACTTTAAAGATATCTTACTATTAATATCTATAAGGATTAAGATAGTTTAATTTATCTCTCTTAGAAGGATTATATCGATAAAATCCTTATACACTTCGGCCTCGAAAATTATAAGGCTATTATAACTCCTATAGATAAAAAGGATATACTTACTCTACAATTAGAATCTAATAGCCTAGCTATAAAGCTAGAAATTAAGGAATATTAGACAAAAATCGGTATATTAGTATAGCTAATAGTGTTAATAAGACCTAATATCTCTTTTGTCACTATTAAGCTTACTAAATACACTAAGAATCCTAGCGAGTAGTATTTTCGCGCTTTAAAAAGGGTATTTCGATACCTTACTAGATTAAGAGATCTAGTTATCTCTTTTCTCTTAATAGTAAATTTATCGGTAGAATCAATTGATTCGACTAAGTCTACCTCTCTAATCGGCTTCTATAATACTAACTAGGCTGGTCTATATAGTGAAAAAGGCGTATTAACCTCCGGATTCCTATTTAAACTAGGGGGTGGTATTATTTCTTAGACCTCTAAAAAGTAACCCTATATTACTTTATTAACTATAGAAAGCGAATATATTACTAAAGCTCTTACTATATAAAAAGCTTTATAGTTAATATAGTTACTTATCGAATTAGGGATCCCTAGGTTTCTCTATAAACCTATCCCTATCTTTATAGACAATAATAGAGTAATTACCCTAGTATCTAACCTAGAATTTTATACTAATACTAAGTATATCGCGGTTCGATTTTATTGACTTCGTTAAGAAGTGGCTACTAGATCCGTTAAATTTATTAAGATTCCCACAGTAAGTATAGCCGCTAATAGCCTTATAAAGCTATTACTATATCTCCTATTGAAAAGGTGGATTTCATAAATAGGACTATATAACTATCGGAAACAGCCTACAATTTATATAGATTAATAGAAAGGATCATGATTTATCCGAGCTTCGGACAATTTGGATTATCTCCTATACTTTCTCTGTCTATGAGTGGATCATCTTAAAGACAAATACTCGAAAAATATCTGGTTTTTTCACACTGAGGAAAGGGATCTTTTAGGCTAGTATGGGGGGTGTAGACTAGGATTCGCTAGTCATAGGGGGTGTCAGAGATCACGTGACCTCTGGTTGCTCCCAGTATATTATAGTCTTCATACGTAGATAGCTTTCTCCCTTCTCCACGCATCTCAATACAGTTTTCCAGAGCATATACTGCTTCTTGTAAAACCAGTATTCTCAAGTAGATAATAGACTATAAGAGATATCTCCTTATTTAATAGATATAGATATAGAGGTAACAGAGCTAGAGTTACTAGAGACTATAACTTAGAGATAGGCCTTAGGGAGGAAGCGTAAGAGTAGGGTAGATAAGGATTTTGAGCAATATTAGAGAAATATATCCTGATTTAATTATTTAATTTATTCTCAATTTATTCTAGAAGAGCGCTATAAGTAAAATACTTAATATTATAAGCAAAAAATACATTAATTATATAGTTACACACTAGAAGTCTATTTGTCTGGTTTACACTATATTAGGGCCCTAATGGGTTACCCAATGGGTTTTGGGTTATAAGCTATAACCCAAAGCCCATCGTTGGGTCGAGGCAATGGACCCAAAACCCATTTTGGGTTGGGTTGGGTTGGGTTGGGTCCGGGTTAGAGTGGGTTGTGCCGAAGTCTAGGTCTAAATCTATAGGATTCTAATATAGTGAAAAATAATCGCTAAGAAATAGTAGAATAATTCTACTAGGCCTCTATACTAGAGGCCTAGGTACTAAAAGTTCTTATTATATAATATAAACTAGTAAATCTAAATCTAGCGATAATTATATAATTAATATATAGTCACTAACTAACTAACTAACTCTTAATAAGTCACTTCGCTTTATGAGGTCTATCTAGTGGCCAAAGGCCACCAAGATCCCTCGTAATAAACCTAAGGAACTTAGTCTTCTTTATAGAGAACTTAGATTTTAGTAAGGTAACTTATAACCCTACTTTTTATAGATAACTAAGTATCTCTCTAACCTATTACTAGTAATCTTTAATATTCTTACTATAGATTAAGATATCATCTATAAAGATAACTATATATTTATCTAGGTATTCTTAAAGAATATTATTTATAAATCTCTAAAAGGTTATAGATCTATTTATTAATCTAAATAGTATTACTTTATACTTAAAGGATCTATATCTTATATAGAATATAGTGAAGTCCTCTACCTCTAGTATTAAATAAATTAAGTAGAAACCTTACTAGATATTAAGCTTTATATAGATAGCCTTATTTATTTATTATAGTACCTTATTAATTAGTAGTAGAGGGTAGTAGTCTTTCTTTATAATTATATTTAATCTCTAGAAATCAATATAGAATTAAAGTCCCCTACTAGGTTTTCTTACTATTAAGATTAGGGATATATATAGAGCTAAACTTGGAATAAAAAATCCTTTTTAAGATTATTAAGGATATATTTCTTCGCTACTTTGAACTCTTTAAGTGATAGCTTATAGAGAGGATAATATCTAGGTTACACTTCCGCTTTAAGAATAATATTATAATCCACACTAGGCCTATAGGGTAGTAACTTATCGGATTTTTCTTCGAAAAGACTTCTACTAGGTTATAGTATTCTTTTAGAAGAGTCCTTTGGATTTAATTAATTTTAGGGTCCTAGGGCTATATACTCTTTCCCTTAATAATATAGTTAATCTTATAGAGCGAAGTAATAAAGGGTTTAATTTCTCTATTAATCTTTCCTTTCTTATAGAATCTATTAAAACTAATATCTCTAATAGTACTAATATTAATGATTAGTAATTTATCCTATTATTAAGTCTTTAAGACTACTATCTTACTCCTATTATTTAGGTTATAACCTATCTTTTATTATTCTTTAATTTACTAGTGTCTATACTATTATTCCTAGGTATATCTATAGCTATCCTTTATTTCTAATTCCTTTTAGCTAAAAAGATAGTCTTATTAGTTAATATTAGCTTAATAATTAAGGTTTAGCTTTAGTCTCTAGAGAATAGTAGTTAGTATTAGTATTACTATCTTACTTAATACCTTATTAAAGAGAGTCTTCTTATCTAGCTAGATTATTTAGTATTAATAATAATCTAATAGGATATTATTATCTATAAACTATTTCCTTCTAAGGATTATATTATATTTTCTAAGATTAGCGATTAATATTAGAACTTACTACTATATCCTACTATCTATATATATTAAAAAAAGGTAATATATATTATTAGCTTACTAAGCTTCCTATTAAATCCTTAAACTAGATACTCCTATCCTATACTTTTAGCTTTTAATCTAAATTATTTACTAAGAAGTACACTTAACTCCCGGTTTAAGAATATATATCTATCTACTCTAGTATCACTAAGTACTAAAATAGAAAAAGAGTATCTATTATATATTAGTCTAGTATTAAAAACTAAACTATCCCTAGGACCTCTAATTAACTTATATAAATCTAGTAAGTATAGCGATACCTTCTATCTACCTAGGTAGGAGACTTAACCTAGGTATTAACTTTTCCCTAATTATTATTCTTATTATTAAGCTTAATAATATAACGTAACCAGTAAAAGAGTCGCTATTATAAATAAGCCGCCACCCTACCTAAAACGTGTCTTTGAATTAGCACTTAGTAAATTCAACCACCCACTATACCACTAATTCGCCCTTAATCCCCTAAAAATTCAACGGAGTAAGAGGGTAGTCTTTTATTAGCTATATAGGCTTTTAAAAATAGAGATATTAGCTCTATTACTCTTACTACGCGCACTTTTAATATCCCGCGTATAACTTTACGCAACTATCTCTCCGGCTATACTAAACGTTGTACTACGCGCGTAAATTTACAGAAATTAATAGAAACTAAAGAAGAATCTCTTTAAAAATAGATCCTCTCAATAGATTCTCACGGATTACCTCCCTAGCCCTCTACTATACGAGAAATAGCGAATCTTTTTCTCGAAAAGCGCGGAACTACCCTAGCTAGTTCTTTTAGTTAGCGAAAAATAAATATATAACTTTGTGAAATAGTATCCTCTTCTTTCCTCCTAGTTCTCGAAATAGTATAACTACGAGTATATAAAATATAAAGACCTAAAGATTATTATATAGTGGTTTAATCTTATTTAAAAAATAATCCTTTAATTTAGAATCGACCCTAATAATGTTTATAACTTTAATTACGGAGCGAAGCGAAGCAACCTATATCATAAGGGCTTAGGTGTATATCACGTGATCTTACTCCTATATAAGGTCCAAATCCATAGAGTTCTAATGCGGCGAAAATGTCATCGCTAAGAAATGGCAGAATAATTCTACCGGCAGTACAGAGTAGATATCCGCTAAGCTTAGCAATTATAATTCTTTATCACATAATATAAACCGCCCGAATCTAAATTCGATAGTGACTACGTAATTAAAACCTAGTACCTAACCAGGTAAAAACCTTATCACTTCGCTCCACAAGGACTATCTAGTGGCCGAAGGCCATCAAGATCCCTTGTAAGATTAGTTTTACAATAGGGTTAATAGTAACCGTGAAGGTTATAATAAGGCGTGAATACTATAGTTAGTAAGTACTTTTATAGCCTAGAAATCAAGAATAGGTAACTATTATTAAGTGTACGAATACTACTAGCTAGGCCCCCCACTATATATAATTTTTAAAGGTAAAGTCTTTATTAAATCTTGGTTTAATAGCCTCCTAGGAGACTAGCGATTTAAGGTTAGTCCTAATAGATAGACCTCTAATAAAATTAGACTTCGCCAGATTAAAACGCTCTTTATTCCTACCACTTTTTTATATATAAAGGGGGGTATTAGCTTTTAATACTTAATAGCTATAGAAGTTATTTAACCCTAAGATTCGATAAAATCTACAAAGAAAATAAAATCATACTAATCTATATACCTCTATACTTCTCTTACCTTTTATAGCCTCTAGATATAGGCTATTTTATAGTATTGAAATATATATATAGCTAGCTAGTTAAATTTAATATATAGAATAGGAGAAATTATACGAGGGATCTTGGTGGCCGAAGGCCACCACATAGTCCTTGTGGAGCGAAGTGACAAGGTTTTTACCTAGTTAGGTACTGGATTTTTTTATATAATCACTATCGTGTGATAACTAAATAATTTCAATTGCTGGGCTTGGTGTATATCTACTGCCGGCAGAATTATTCTGCCATTTCTCAGCGATGACATTTTCGCCGCATTAGAACTCTATGGATTTGGACCTCATATAGGAGCAAGGTCACGTGACGTATACCCAAGCCCTTATGATATGGGTTGCTTCGCTTCGCTCCGCAATTAATAAACTTAATTTCCTTAAAGTATACCCCCTTATATAAATAGAGGCTTTTAAATCAGAGACTATTAAAAATAGCTTTTGATCTACTAACGTATTTCACCCCATTGCTGGACACACCCCATGGCTGGACACCCACCCAAAACGCGTCAATTAATTTAACCCCTTTCTTCTTCCACCACCCACTATGCCACCAATACGCTCCCGGAGCTCTAAAAATTCAATAGAGCAAGAGGGTAGGATCCTACTAGCTATCCAGGCTTTTAAGAATCGAGAAATCTCTTCAATTCGTGAAACCGCCCGCCGATTTAATATACCGAATTCAACTCTCGCTTTACGCCTCTATAGTATACAAAACCACGCGATTTCTCGCGTTAGTCTACAGAAATTGACCTAGATTAAAGAGGAATCTCTTGAAAAATAGATTCTCTCTATGGATCTACGTGGAGTAGCCCCCCGGCCCTCTATAGTACGAGAAATAGTAGACCTTCTTCTTTAAAAGCGTGGAACTACCCCGGTTCTTTCGGTCGGCCAAAATTGGGTTACAAAATTTGTTAAACGACGTCCGCTTCTCTCCTCCTAGTTCTCGAAACGGTATAACTACGAGCGTGCGAAATGTGAAGACCCTAAAATCATTACAGAGTGGTTTAATCTAGTCCAAAAGACAATCCTTCAATTTGGAATCGACCCTAACGATATCTATAACTTTGACGAGACCGGTTTCGCGATAGGGTTAACGGTAACTGTGAAGGTTATAACGAGGAGTGAATACTACGGTCGGCGAGCACTTTTATAACCTAGAAATCGAGAGTGGGTGACTATTATTGAGTGTACAAATACTTCTGGCTAGGCCCTTCCGCTGTGTATGATTTTTAAAGGTAAAGTCTTTATTGAATTATGGTTTGATGGCCTCCCGGAGGATTAGCGCTTCGAAGTTAGTCCTAACGGCTAGACCTCCGATGAAATTAGGCTTTATTGGCTTAAGAAGCTCTTTATTCCTAGTACTTCTTTACGTACGAAGGGGGGGTATCGGCTTTTAATACTCGATAGCCATAGAAGTTATTTAATACCTTAATTCGACAAAATTTGCGAGTAAAATAAGGTGATACCAATCTATATACTAGTGTATTTATCTTATCTTTTATAACCTCTTAATATAGGTTGTTTTACAGTATTAAAACGATTGTACGGTCGGATGGTTGAAACTAAGATACGGAACGGGATCAACTATATTGATAAACTTGACTTCCTCGAAGCATACCCTCTCGCACGAATTGAAGCCTTTAAATCGGAGACAATCAAGAATAGCTTCTTAGCTACCGGTTTAGTACTATTTGGACCCGACCGAGTGATTTCAAAGCTTAATATCCGGCTTCGAACCCTAACCCCCCCTCCGAGCCGGGGGAGTGAATTAAGCCGGAATTTTATACCAAAAACACCGGCTACAGAGAAAGAACTACGTCGATAGGCTTTATCAATTAAAGCTTTACTTTGTACGAGGTCTCGAAGCCCGCCTAGCCTGTCAGATTGTGCATTAGACCAGCTTGTGAAAGGCTTCTGTCTTACAATGCAAGGTGCTATCTTACTCGCTAAAGAAAACAAGGAATTACGTGCCGCCAACGAGAAGTAGAAGCAAAAGCGTACTCGATCCCGAAGGCAGATACCTACTGAAGAAGGCCTCTTAGTTCAAGAAGTATCTGCATTAATTATACAGTAATAGGAAGTAACTAAAGCACCTACCCCCGGCCCTAGTATACCTAGAGAATCGGCTATTCAGCCACGTACGCGGCCCCGGGGGTGTGGAATATGTAGATTGCCAGGGCATAGAAGAGAAACATGTCCAGATAGACCACTTAGTTAGTTGAATTAATTTAATGGCGTTATGGTTGAGATAAATGCATTTAAATTTAATAGGTTGGGTTGGGTGTCCAGCTATGGGGTGTGTCCAGCAATGGGGTGTGTCCAGCAATGGGGTGAAATACGTTAGTTTAATACCTTTTACACTAAAGAGAGTGATTTTAAAGCTTAATATTTAGCTTCGAACCCCTACCCCCTAGCTAGCTAGGGTAGTGAATTAAGCTAGAATTTCACCCTAAAAACCCCCTTTATAGAGAAAGAACTATATCTATAGGCTTTATTAATTAAAGCTTTACTTTATATAAGATCATAAAGCCCACCTAGCCTATTAGATTGTATATTAAACTAGCTTATAAAAGGCTTCTGTCTTATAATATAAGGTACTATCTTACTCACTAAAGAAAATAAGGAATTATAGGCCGCTAACGAGAAGTAGAGGTAAAAGTGTACTAGATCCCGGAGCTAGATACCCACCGAAGAAGGCCTCTTAGTTTAAGAAGCTTCTTAATTGATTACTAAGCCGGTGGAAGCTAATAAAGTACCTCCCTCCCCTCCCTAAAGAAGCCCTTCGCCGGCTTTAGAACCACGTATATAGGCGCTAGTGAGGTATAGTGGGTATAGATCAATAGGGTATAAATTCAATAGATACCTAGCTAGATAGATGATTTTAGTGTATTTAATTTAATAGCGTTTTGGTTAAGATAAATACATTTAATTTTCATTTATTGAGGTACGGTGGCGACTTGTTTACAATGGCGACTTGTTTACAATAGCGACTCGTTTACTGGTTACGTTAGGGAGAAGGTTAAGCTATAGTAATAATATCAACTAGCTTCTTCTTTAGATAGTTATAGGTTATATATCCTTACTCCTTATAACTAAAGTATTGACTTTCTTTTATTAGGATATCCTACTTAGAGCTTAAGAGTCTTCTAGGGTTAGAGCTCTCTTTATATTTTATATAGGGGGTATAGGTTAACTTTATAGTTAATCCTATTCCTATACTACTACTAGGAGTAGTAGTGGATTATATATAGGAAATAGTCTTTACCTCCTACTAGAGGTTAATCTTATAAGATATACTCTAGTAAGTCTTAGAGAAAGATTTAAATATTATAGCTTCTAATTAACTATCTATATTATCTAGCTCTATAGTAGATATAGTAGCTTTAAGTATAAATTATACTTATAGTTCTCCTTAATTATAGTGGCTTCTTTAGTAAGCTATATAAACTTAGTAAGGAAGTTAGTAAAACTATCCTTTAGCTTTATTATTAATTTATAGTATATAGTATAGGCTTTACTTAGCCCGTCGCTTCCGTACTAAACCCTTTAGGGGTTTTACGGCCGCACTACCCAAAATATAATTTTATCTAAAGTATAATTTTCGAGTATATACTTGATAAAACAATCATTTTTGACCTATTCCCCTATAGTATCTATAATAAATTTATATTTTATAGAATTCCTAGATTCCGCTCTATCCCCCTGAGTATCAATCTTATCACTTTCTTAGGTCTATATAGAGAGAGCGGCCCTAGTAGTTATAGTTATAATATACTCTTTCTATGCCTAGCGAATGATTCGGCGCCTTATATCCTTATCCCTTATTTTTATATACCTTTTTATATTATAAACTAATTAAGGACCCCCTATATTAACCTACTACTTTGATTTCTAGGCTTCCCGGCGATTTTTATAGTCTAAAATTTTAATATTGTCGCTAGCGTACTAAGCTCCTACTTCCACTAAGGTAAGGCCACTATCTAAAATAGGGTCTAATTAACGCTATATCTTAGATAAAAAAGACTTAATTTAAGGGCCCTTTCTCTTGAATTTATCAATCTATACCTAAAGCTTTTCTATAGTTTTAATTAGTAAACTATATACTAAACTTAATATAGGAGGAGGGGTATCGCTATCGAATATTTAAAGTACTAGATCGGTTAGAAGCTCTAGTTCCTACCCTATTTTAATAAGCCCCTTTTCTAAATTAATAGGATAGATTCTATATTTAATAAACCTATACTATATTATATAGCTTTTAAATACTACGAGGCGAATTTAGTGGATATTAGCGAAGAAATCCGACTTTAATTTTATAGATCTACCCTACTAGATAGTAGTGTTATTATTCTTTTGGAAATAGTGCTTTAATACCTAAAAAGGGATATTATTAAGGGGCTAGTAGATATATATATAGTATATAGTATAAAGTAATATAGAATTATTGAATTATCCTAGTAATACTCAATGAATTTATATATTAAATAAGACCTATAGTTATCTATTAAAAGTAGGTAAAAATCCCCCTTTATAACCTAGCTTTTTGTAGATTAGTTAAAAGATTAAAGCTATTAAAAGGTAATAATATTATTTATCTAGCTATTAGGTATAGTAGCGACCTAGTAATCATTAGGGAGGTTAGTTTCACGATACCAATTCTCTATATAAACCATTACCTTTACTAGAAACTAAGGTAGTATAACCTAACTATTGGCGGAAATATATTTAATAATAGTAAGGGATTCTATAGGTCCTCCTATACTAATCTTAGAATATCTTCCTCTAGTAGAAACAACCTTTTACTTCTATCCTTCGCCGATTTAAAAGTAACTTTTGTCGAAGTTATATAGATTTTTTAGGTAAATCTTATACTACTAAATAGTATTGGTAAGCCTATCGTACTAGGTATTTAAATAACTAGGTATAACTACTTCTATTCGGTCTTTTTCCATAGGTTTTTGTTTAATATAGAGGTAATTATCGGGGAGTCGCTTAATAAATCTATATACCTAGTTGTAACTAAGGTTCCCCTAGGGGTTATAGTGGCGAAGAATCGATAGAGTATAGTTATAAATTATCTTAGTAGTTAGCGGAGTATTAGTATTTAAGGTATAAATCTATTGAATTACTACTGCTTCTTAGGTAGAATTAAGGGCTTTATTGGTGCCTATACGGCCCTTCTAGGGTTTTGTACCCTTTGACCGGCCGAGGAGTAACTAGTACAGAATATCGAATTCCCACGCTAATTTAGCGATTTTAAGTCTAGGATTTTCAGTATATAATTGTAAGGCAATTTTGATACGGTCTTCTAATTCTTGATTTAATCGAGTTATTTTTAGAGGTATAAAAATTGATTAAAAATAGTGGGTTGGTTAAAATTATATTTTAGATGAAATTATATTTTAGGTGATATGGCCTAACAACCCCTTTTGGGTTGTTAGGCTATAGTACTATGCTAGGCTGAGTAGTATATTAGTTTAGATTTATAAAAATAGTTTTTAAATAGATAATTATATCCTTAGTGTCTATATAGGGGTTACTTAACTTAGAGCTTATTTAGGGTCTAGTATATAACTAGGCCTTCCCTTTATAATAACTCTATATAGAGAGCTTATAGTATACTAGTAATAGATAGTAATTAGTATTCACTTTAAGTTTCTATTAGATAATAGTTCCCTATACTTTAAATTAGACTTCTTTACTATCGCTAAGTATTAGAGTGTTAGGTATCTTTATAGACTTTTAGGTAGTAATAGTCTCTATAATTAGTATACTAGCACTAGTCTAGTTCTAGAGATTTATAAGGTGGAAAGTAAGATTACTATATTTATAGATAGCGATATCTCGGTAGGTAATCGCCTTATCTTACTCCTAAGTAAGTACCTCGATAATTATCTTAGTCTTAATCTTATTAGAATATAGGATAGCTACTTTATCCTCTAATTCCTAGACTCTCTTTCTTAAGTTCTAGTATTTATAGGTAAGTTTATAAAATTATTTATAAGTTAGGGTCTTCTATAGTTATTTATAAATAGAGGAGCCTTCTCTATTATTATTATCTTCTTTATATTCACTAGTACTAACTAGTCTGTATAGTTTAGGGATTAGGGTTTTTAGGTTATAAGTAACTATCTCTTACTTATTACTATCTTCTTTATTAGGTATAGCGATAGGCTACTTACTATAGCTAGTAGATAGGTTTCGCTTCGATCTAACTATTCTAGTTAGTTAGATATTAGGTTTAGGTTTAGGTTTTAGTTTATATTAGGTCTTAGCTATATAATACTAAAGAATAAAGTAGGGGTAAAGTGGGACTAAGACTAATTATAATAATAGTCTATATAGTTATACTACTTTATTAGAATAAGAGTGGTACTTAGTATTATATTACTAGCTAGTTCTTTAAATAAAAGAGTGTATTTGAACGAGAATACTAAGTATAGAGAGAGAAGGAAAGGAAGAAAGAAAACTCTAGGATAGGATCCTTTGTGGGGTTCTATTACTACCAAGTATACAAACAATATAAACTCTGCTAAGGTAGAAAGATTCGGTAGAATATTTTCGGTGGAAATCTTCTCGGTAGAAAAGATTCACCTTCTAGATCGTCACATATAGATTAGGGGTTCTTATTAGAACTATAGTCTCCTTTCTAGGGGACTATTAATTTAGATTATCCTATAGATTCCTTATCTCTATTAAGATTACCTTAATTAAATTATTAAGATATAGATATAGTTCCTAAGACCTATTAAGATAAAGACTTTATACTAGCTCTTTAACTAGAAGCCCTATAAGCCTTAAGGCGCTTAAGTTAGATTTAAAACCTAGTTAAGTATTCCTTAATATAGCGGCTTTAAAATTATTCCTTAATACTAATCTAATATGGCTATTTACTAATTATACTAATATATTACTCACTCTCTTTATAGCTACTATATTTAAAGAATTATTTACTACTTTAAATCTTAAGCTAATAGACCCTAGTTTCGAACTAGATAGCTAGAAATAAGCTATATCCTATCTTAAAAAAGATAAATAGCTTCTTATAGTATATAAGGAATTAAATCGCTACCTAATAAATAGTACCTAGAGATAAATTCCTCACTTAAATAATAGGGGTAAAAGGGCCCCTCTTACCCTTCGCTAGGTATTTAAGATTAAGTATAATAGTACCTATAAAGCTTAGCTTATTACCTAAGGCTTTCGCTAAGTTAAAGACCTAGATTTTTATAAGGTATATACTATTATTACTAAGCCTATATCTTTTAAGACCTTTACCACTATTATAGTGTCTCAAGGCTAGTACCTTTATTATATTAATATTATTACTATCTTTCTTTATATAGAACTAAAGGAACTAATTTATATTAAGTTTCCTAAGATTTAACGTAAATAGTATCTAGACTATATAGCTCTCC